TTTTCCTTTATAGGGTCAAGATGGTGTTGGTGGTGACAAGGGTGAAGACGGAGATCCTGGTCAACCAGTAAGTAAACAAACTTATTTTTTTATTTATTGTGTACATAGCCTCAAGGCATATTAAAGAATTAATTGTAAACAGTCAGCCTTTCAAAAGTACAGCTATGTGTGTGTACATTTTTCTGAAAGAATTATCAGCAATATTTGACTTCCAGTTGAGAATCAGTTTTACATTGACTGTTGCCTACTTGATGTGATTTAAGAAGTATAAGCAAAGCCTTCATAATAAAAAAAATGTAGTCTTAGTATACTAATGATTTTCTCATACTATATCAATCTTAGTTATCTATCCATTTCCGTTAAATGAAAATTATTTTTAAAACACAAATATAACTGAAAGGAAGAAAGCCAAGTTTTTAGCCTATCACGTTAGTATGAAATACTTCAGTAACTCACCTAAATGAGTTCAACATAATGTATGACCTTTTTTGGGGTGGGGGAGGAAGATGGCACGGTAGAGTGCTTTAGCCACAGGTGGTTAGTTAGGGGGGAATGGAGGAAAAGCACAAGCTACTTAAGTAGGAGCCAAATACAAACTTCACCTATAACCACTTCGTCTCTAGAGCCACCCTTGCAGGATAAATACAGTCAAATAGATATGGGCTTATTCTGTTAGATGTTTCGTACACTTGGCATAAAAATGTTAATGTTGCACAACAAAGATTTTAGAAGTAATAGTTATATGGTTTCACAAATTCATGTCATGTGAGTAAAATTATTAGCCATATGATTCTACTAATAAAGTATATTTGTTGGGCATTGCACTTTTAAAAGGAACACAGTTTTATGATATAGAGCGAATTTGCTTCATTTTCTTCTAGTTTCTGAAGAAGTTTTATATGTGAATTTACCTAGCTCTAACTATAGATTTCTAGAAGAAATTTAGGTATCTAAAGTTGAGCCGACAATTTTCCAGGAATGATAGATGTTGAGAAATGAAGAAAGAAGGTTGGGTTCAGTCCATATTCTGAAAAACTCTGTGGGCCATAAAATAGTACTCAGTTCCTAAAAAGATATTTTTCGTGTTTTATAGGGTCCTCCTGGTCCATCTGGTGAGGCTGGCCCACCAGGTCCTCCTGGAAAAAGAGTAAGTTTTTTCCTTTCTTTATTTTAAACTTATTTTCCATATGTATAAATTTATATATCTAAGATGTAGGCAGCATGTTATAAGAATTGCTGAAAAA